AACAAAAAAAAAAAAAAAAAAAAAAAAAAAAAAAAGAAGTTCATGCATGTTCTTGGATGTTCAACAATGTTTATTTGCATCTTGGTACTTAAAAGACTTATTTATTGGAGGCGAACAATTATCTTTGTTATACTGAGCCTTCTCATTTAATAGACAATCTACTTCCTTTATTTTGGTCATCTTAAAGGTCTTTCAATAAAGTGATATAAATCTTTCAAATTCTCTCATAATTTTTATTGTGAATAGAGAACTTTTCAAAAGTGTTCTGATTATTGCTAGTGCCTGAAGTTGCAAGCAAGCATCTAGAGAATTCTACTAGATTCCTTTTATTTTTTTTTTCTTGAAGTATAGTTGATTTACAATGTTGACTTAATTTCTGCTGTACAGCAAATTGATTCAGTTGTGTATATATATATATATATATACACACACATATATATATATACATACATATATATACACATTCTTTTTTTATGTTCTTTTCCATTATGGTTTATGACAGGATATTGAATATAGTTCCCTGTGCTATACGGTGGACTCTCATTATTTTACATGGTTGTCTGTGGGTTCTCCTCTTTCCACATAGGCAATCACATCATCTGCAAATAATAAGTTTGTTTCCAATTTTAAACCCTTTAGTTGTTATTACTGTCATGCTGTGCTGGTTAAGACCTCCAGCAGAGTGTTAAGCAGGAATAGAGGCAGCAGACTTGTACCTCAATGGTGAACAACTAGGGAACGTCTTCAAACTTTCATCATTAAATATGATGTTAGCTATAAAGTTCTGGTAGCTAATATCTATTAAGTTAAAGAAGATATATTTGGGCTTCCCTGGTGGCGCAGTGGTTGAGAGTCTGCCTGCCAATGCAGGGGACACGGGTTCGTGCCCCGGTCCGGGAAGATCCCACATGCCGCGGAGCGGCTGGACCCTTGAGGCATGGCCGCTGAGCCTGCGTGTCTGGAGCCTGTGCTCCGCAATGGGAGAGGCCACAGCAGTGAGAGGTCCGCGTACCGCAAAAAAAAAAAAAGATATATTTACACCGGTTTTGCTGAGCAGGTTTTTTTTTGGTAAGCAACTTGATTTTTATCTGCATTTTGAGTGCAAAGTTTCTTGCAATGTTATTCTTTTCAAATATACTTTTATTGATGTAAAAATTCACAAAATATAAAATTAACCATTTCAAAGTATACAATTCTGTGACCACTTACTCTATTGACAATGTTATGCAACCACCACCTCTATCTAGTTTCAAAACATTTTCATTATTCTAAAAGAAAACTAGATATCCATTAATCATTCAGTCTCAATTTTTCCTTCCCCCCAGGTCCTGGTAACCACCAATTTGCTTTATGTCTCTATAGATTTACCTATTCTGCACATTTCATATAAATAGAAATACAATATGTGATCTCTTGTGTCTGGCTTCTTTCACTCAGTGTACTGTTTTTGAGGCTTATTCATGTTATAATGTATATCGATACTTCACTTGTATAGGTGATTAATATTCCATTATACATATATGTGTATGTATAGGTACATGTATATACACATACCACATTTTGTTTTTCCAATAACCACTGCTGGGCATCTGAGTTGTTTCCACCTTCTGGCTATTGTGAATAGTGCTGCTATGAATAACGTTATGCAAGTATTTAAGTACCTGTTTTCAATTTCATTGGGTATATACCCAAGAGTGGAATTCCTGGGTCATATAGTAATTCTATATTTAACTTTTTAGAGAGACCACCAACTTTTTTTTCCATAGCAATGGAACCATTTTATATGCCAGCAATGTGCAAGAGTTCCAATTTCTGCAATTATTCTTAATATTAGAATAATACCAGGCATTTTAGGAAATGCTAAGAGGAAAGGAAATGTTTGTAGTGCCCAAGGGCATGTTATAATAATGATTCCAAAGTTCCTGTTTGACACAGCAGTGGAAATACAATGCACTTGAACTCACCACACATAACCCTGTCTTCTTCCCTCCTTCAGTCTCATGTGCTGCTTGTTTTTTAGTATTTTATGTACATCTTTTATCATCTTTGGATATTTCAAAAATAAGGCTCTAGAAAAATGTAGGCTTTAAGAAGTGATGTATCATCACAGTTGGCAGAAATACTAAAAAAGACAGTAAAAATAAGGACAACAAACTTATGTGATGTAATTCTTTAGACTTATTAATGAGTCAAATTACATATTAAATTTTGATTTATAAGGAAGTAGAACATTTCTGTTTATATTAGATTATATTACTCAACATTCTATGCCTATGCTGGAAATTTATTAAACTCTAAAAATTACATTCTTCATGTAATTCCAAAAATAAAAATAAAATTAAATACATAAAGCCCATTTTATGTAGTATATAGTCTACAACATAACTCTTACAAACCTTGGTTGAAATCCAACTCATCCTTATGTTCTGATTTTTTTCTATATTCAAACAGCATTGTATTTGCAGTGAAAATACCTAATATTTGTAGTAGAATATTCTCTGGAATCCTTTCTAAAACAATTATATTAAACCCTTAGAAAATTATTTCATTCTATAGTTTCCAGATTTTACTTAATTACTCAAATCTAGAATGCCACCAAATGTAGAAAAGCCCTAACAATGAAATGATGACATTCCATCAACTATAACATGCATCACAGTTTAAGATACAGTCAGATGTGAAGAAATAAAACCATGAAATGCAAAAATAAAATATAATTTATCACTGATGCTTTTGCCACATTCATAAAGTCTCTGTGTGGAGCAAATTGTTTCTGTTTTCAAGAGCTCATGGTGCTTAATGATAGCCAGTCCTCCATAGGAAGCATTTTCAGTGACTATAATCACAGTTTTTCTGTAATGTATGAGCTTACTGAAGTAGAAGTTTACTGGAGTAGTATAGAAATATCATTCCTTAAGGATTTTATAACTTCATTGAATCTAGAAATTATCCCCCTGAGAATGGAGTCTTTCTGCTATATGAGTTAGTGGGCAATTAAGGAGCTCTGAATTGTAAATAAAGCATTTTGACAATCACTGCAATTCGCACCCTTTTGTGGCGAAAGGCAGACTTTAACTATATCCACTGGACTCTCTCCTGAATTAAGTAACTGGTGTTTAATATGTCACTTTCAAAAGCTTTCCACATTCCTTGTTTCAAAAAGATTTATCTCTTATATGAATCTGTGGATGATTAGCGAGCTTTGACATCTATATGAAGGATGTACTACATTAACAAGGCTTTCCTCCTATTTGGGTTTGTTGATGTAAGGAAGACATGCATTATCGGAAGATATGCATTAAGACTACCACATTCACTGCACCTACAGGATCTCTCTCCTGTACAAGATGTTCAAAGAGTTTTGAGTTTCTAGGGAATACTGTCATTATCACAACATTCCTGAAATTTCTATTTTTATGTACAATGAGATGTAATTTTTCTTAGCTTGGCTGCATTCACTGCAACTGTAGGGTCCCTCTCCTGAATGAATACCATAATGTCTAACAAATATGACTTGAAAAAGAATAATTTCCCACTTTCCCTGCATCCATAGGTTTTTACCTCCTAAATGCATAGGCTGTGACTTTCAAATAAAGTCTTTTGACAATTGCTGCCTTTATAATGTTTCTTTTTTGGTGAGATTCCCTATGGTATAATGAGGAGATGTCTTCAGGTGGAAGATGTACAACTTTCATTCCATATATAAGGTTTCTTTCCTACAGGAGTTCCAAAAGGGTCTATATAATCAGAGCGTTCATAGGCATTTCTATTCTGTATGAGTTCTCTAAGTAGATAAGATTAATCAAAAGAGATTTCTCACATTCCCACAGTCATTGCATAGAGGATTTTCCTCTATGCTGAGTTTGCTGATGATTAGCCAGGGCTGATTTCCGAAAGAAGGCCTTCTGACATTCATTGCACCTATAGGGTCTCTCTCCTGTGTGAGTTCTCCGGTGACCAATGAGAGTTGACAAAGTAGCAAACGTTTTCTTACAATTGCAGCATTCATATGGTCTCTCTCCTGTATGAATTCTCTGATGTACAGTAAGATAGGATTTAGCTGCGAAAGCTTTGTCACATACACTACATTTGAATGGTTTCTCACCTGTATGGGTTCTCTGATGTATAATGAGAGTTGACTTACAGGACAGAACCTTCCCACATTCACTGCATCCATACGACTTTACCCCAGAATGACAATTTTGTAGATGGTTAGTGAGACCTGACTTCTGGATGAAAGCTTGTTGACATTCATTACATCCATAAGGCCTCTCTCCTGTGTGAATTCGCTGATGAATCATGAGATGTGCCTTAGTGGAGAAGGCTTTCTCACAATTTAAGCATTCATATGGTCTCTCTCCTGTATGAATTCTCTCATGTACAGTGAGATGTGCCTTTGATGTGAAGGCTTTATCACATGCACTGCATTTGAAGGGTTTCTCACCTGTATGGCTTCTCTGATGTATAATGAGAGTTGACTTAGAGGACAAAACCTTCCCACATTCACTGCATTCATGGGATTTCCCTACTGCATGATGAGTTTTCTTATGATTACTGAGATCTGACTTCTGGATGAAGGCTTGTGGACATTCACTGCATCCATATGGTCTCTCTCCTGTGTGAATTCGCTGATGAATCAGGAGCTGAGCCTTTTTTGAGAAGGCTTTCTCACAATCTGAGCATTCATATGGTTTCTCTCCTGTGTGAGTTCTCTGATGTACAGTGAGATGTGTCCTAACCATGAAGGCTTTATCACATACTCTGCATCTGAAAGGTCTCTCTCCTGAATGAGTCCTCTGATGTAAAATGAGTTTTGACCTCCAAGGAAAAGCTTTCCCACATTTGTTGCATCCATAGGATTTCCCTTCTCTGTGACGGGTTTTCTGATGATAGATTAGTGCTGACTTTGTAACGAAGGATTTCTGACATTGACTACATCCAAATGGTCTCTCTCCTGTGTGAATTCGCTGATGAATCAGGAGCTGAGCCTTTACTGAGAAAGCTTTCTCACAATCTGAGCATTCATATTGTTTCTCTCCTGTGTGAGTTCTCTGATGTACAGTGAGATATGTCTTAACCATGAAGGCTTTATCACATACTCTGCATCTGAAAGGTCTCTCTCCTGAATGAGTCCTCTGATGTAAAGTGAGTTGTTTTGACTTCCAAGGGAAAGTTTTCCCACATTTGCTGCATCCATAGGATTTCCCTTCTCTGTGATGGGTCTTCTGATGATAGGTGAGCACTGACTTTGTAATGAAGACTTTCTGACGTTGATTGCATCCATATGTTTTCTCTCCTGTGTGAGTTTCCTGATGAGTGATTAGCTTTAACTTACTGGGAAAGGCTCTCTTACAATCACAGCATTCATGGGGTTTCTTTCCTGCATGAGTTCTCCAAGGCATGGTCATGAGTGGTTTACAAGTATTCACTGCACTTTTATTGCATCCATATAGTTTCTTGCCTAAAGAAGTTGAGTCATAATTAGCAAGCTCTGACGTCTAGATTAAAGCCAGAGTACCCATGGAAGAATGAGCAAGACAGCAAAAGAAGGTTTTTTTTATCATTTACTATAAAAAATATTAGTGAGACAATCAGTAGAATCTGAATAAACTCTGTAGATTGGATAATAGTTCTGTAACAATATTAATATTCTGATTTTGATAACTGTATTGTTTATGTTTTTAAAATGACCTTGTTTCTAGGAAATACTTAGGTATTTAGGGGTAAAGAGTTCAGGAAAAAAATATGTACCTCTGTGTGTGTGTGTGTGTGTGTGTGTGTGTGTGTATGTGTGTAATGACAGATAGACTATGATAAAGCAAATGTGGTTAAATTACCACTTAAGTATATCTGCAAAAACAATGTGCATAAAATTTGTGTATAATCTTGGGATTTCACATTAAGTCTAAACCATTTAGAAATAAATATTTTCAAAAAAATAAAGGAAGACATTTACATAAAACTATATAGAAGGGTTACTCATAAAGGCCTGAATGCAGAATGAATAAATTATTTTATATTCACACAATGGCATCCGGCACAGTACTCTGGTATTCTTGATCTAAATGCTCATTATACAGTGTGCTGATTATAAAAATTAACTATGTTATACTTCAAATATTTTTATACAAAGAAGTAAACAAAAATATAGTCAGTAGTCAGGAAATGCTCACGTATAGGAGGAACCTGGAAGGAATTTGGATATTATACTAATAGTAACAGGATGCCATTCAAGGTAATAGTAGGAGACAGATGTACTAGTTTTCACTTTAAAAATGTCATCCTGGACTTCCTTGGTGGTGCAGTGGTTAAGAATCTACCTGCCAATGCAGGGGACACGGGTTCGATCCCTGATCCAGGAAGATCCCACATGTGGTGAGCAACTAAGCCTGTGAGCCACAACTACTGAAGGCTGCACACCTAGAGCCTGTGCTCCACAACAAGAGAAGCCACAACAATGAGAAGCCCATAGGCCTCGCTCACCGTAACTAGAGAAAGCCTGTGCACAGCAACAGAGAACCAATGCAGCCAAAATAAATAAAAAAATAAAATTAAAATTCACCTTTTAAAAAAAATGTCATCCTTGGGCTTCCATGGTGGCGCAGTGCTTGAGAGTCCGCCTGCTGATGCAGGGGACACGGGTTCGTGCCCCGGTCTGGGAAGATCCCACATGCCGCGGAGTGGCTGGACCCGTGAGCCATGGCCGCTGAGCCTGCGTGTCCGGAGCCTGTGCTCCTTAACGGGAGAGGCCACAAAAGTGAGAGGCCCGTGTACCGCAAAAAAAAAAAAAAAAAAAAAAAAAAGTCATCCTTTGCGTATCTGTATCACAAGGTTTTAAATCTTGTGACATAAATACTTTTTTAGGTTTGTGGACTGTGGTTGTGAAAATTGGTAATGATCTGCTATGTCATATAGTATTTTTCTTAGATTATACGTTAGATCTTTCTCTCTACCCTTCCACTTGAAGACTGTTCTTTCTGTATGATGGTTTATCTTCCCATACCCCTTTTTTTCTTTCCAAGTAACTGTCAAAACCTTATGTCTTTAAAAATCCAGATGTTTCTGAAGTTTATGTTCATGACCTTTGGGGGAGAGTAGCCCAAAACACTGACTTTCCTTACTTACTATTTATAAATAAATAAAAATAGTAAAATTTAAAAAATCATCTGGTTATTACGTGGAGAATAGAGAGAAATACGATTAAAGAAATGAGAGTATCTTCAAGTAAACTATAAAAATTTTGGCAAAAAATACTGGATATTGAGGCTTGAGTGAAAACAATAGTTACAGGAAAGAGTGGAGGCCCTCAGGATATAATAAGGAGACAGGAAGATCAGACTTGGTAATGGATTAAATTTGTGGTGTGAGTGAAAAGAGGAACAAAAAGTGACATGAATTTGAGATAGATATTAGGTCTCCAAGTGCAGAAAGGAAGTATCCAGGTGACTATATGAGGATAAGGGAAGGTTTGGCCTGTAGACAGAAATTTGGGGGTCATCAGCATATAAATAGTATTGTTAAGGCCATGAAATTTAATGAAATTACACTGCTAACAAATAATAGAAATACACAAAGATGAGGCTTTATGCTTTCCAACTCTGAAGACTTTAGAAGATGCCCAGAGCATGGAGAAAGTCCATCCATCAGACACAACCAATGACTACAAAGGAAAGATGCCAACTAAAGTCTTGAAAAAATATCTGGGGGAAGCAGGTTAAAATAAAGGACCCTCAGCTTCTCACCTCAAGTGTAGTTATCCTATCCTACTGATTCTTTCTTCTCTAATTAATTCTGAAAGCAATAGCCAATGAACCTTCCCAAAGATTCAATATCATACTTAAGAGACCACCACTGTGGTCAACATTCCCACCTTCTAGCTTGCTCTGATACGTTCTCACATGGCCCACAGAAAGCCACCTGCACAGTGGGCCAAATCTCCTTACCCCAGGATAAAAGGTGTTGCTGTATTAACTAGAAGAATTGTTACATTTGACCAGGTAAAAGAAGTGAAAACAAGAGATGTGGAGAAAACAGGAACTGACATTGCCAAAGAGGAGGCAGAAGAAAAGGAGGAAGTCTGGATGCTGCAAAGAAAATAATGTTCTACTGAACACTGAAACAAACCAAAAGAGAGAAAAAGAGGCACATCTTCCTTGAAACAGCAAGCAAGAGAGCCTTGCCAATGATTTAGGTATTTGTAATGACCTTCAGAGTTTTAGCCTTGTTAAACACATATGGAAGGGTCAACACTTCATGGCTAAGTACTTTACTTTCAAGGTCTCCCATCTTGCTGCTTCTCAGTTGCTCACTCACTTGAAAAGTACTGACACTGCATTTCATCTTCTACTCTCCATGGCTCTTTTCCAGGTTTGAAATTAAGGATTATATCTGCTTTGGTAGCCTGATAGCCTGTTCATGGGCAATGACAAAGACTTGGACACTTACAATTGGACTTGGTGGGGGACGTCTAGGAAGAGTACAGAATGTTTCAGGAATGGACACACTTTGACCTTGGCATATTAAAAATCTAATGAAGGTGAAAGCACGTTAATTTCCACCTGGGAACAGAAGAGGGTCTGAGAATCTATTGTCTATAAACTCAAATTCAGTATCTTGAGGCCCTTTGAAACCTAGGGCAACTGAAAAAGGAAGGGCTATTATTGGCTGTGTGCTCCAAATGATAGGGCAATCATCTTTAACTAGTGTCACAGGTTACTAGAATTCTCCAACAACACATCCTGGTACAGGTTCTTCTGAGCAGAACCTAGTGGCTATCACTCCTCCCAGGTAAAGTCCACAGAAATATACTCAAATGATATTAATTCCTGTAGTTATTACACATTCTTCTTCCAATGTGTGGTGACAATTACTGATGAGAAAAAGACCTACAGGTATATGTTCTGGCTGTTTTCACCATAAGTTACAAAGGCTATATCTCTGTGTCATAGTTCTCACCAGTCATTATGGAAAGAAGTAAAATGCCATTTTATCTATCTTGCAATTGAACACTTAATTATCAACTAATCCAGTAAATCAGAAGTTTTTGAAAGGCATATTCACTATATCCTGCGGGTAAAATATCCCTAAAACAGTAATCTCTGTAAAATATTTTTAACATATATTTAAAAGGTGGAGAAGAACTAAGTGCTCATATAAACACAGCAAAAATCTGTCCTCAAGGAGCTTTTATCCTGAACACTTTTCAACAGATAGAACAATAGAATCAAATATGAAATGACTACACATGCAGGAATTATCAGCTCAGAATATTATGAATATTTATTTATTTATTTATTTATTTATTTATTTATTTATTTAGCGGTACACGGGCCTCTCACTGTTGTGCCTCTCCTGCTGCGGAGCACAGGCTCCGGACGCACAGGCTCAGCGGCCATGGCTCACGGGCCCAGCCGTTCCGCGGCACGTGGGATCCTCCCAGACTGGGGCACAAACCCGTGTCCCCTGCATCAGCAGGCAGACTCTCAACCACTGCGCCACCAGGGAAGCCCATGAATGTTTAATATAAAGCTTTAATATATTGAGAAATAAGATATCTAAAATATGGGGAAGGAATAAGATATTATTAAAATGGCCATTTAGATATATATAAACCAGCAGAAAAATTTAAAAATAAAATACAGTTGATCCTCATTATTCGTGGATTTATTGTGAATTCACCTACCTGCTAAAATTTCTTTCTGACTCAAAATCAATAATCACGGCACTTTCATGAACATTTGCAGACATGCATAGAATAGTTTGAGCAATGAATAATTTGAGTTGCCCAATGTGTATGTTCCCATTTAAGTCTGAACAAAATGATGTTCTGCCTTCTTATTTCAGCTCTGCTATTGTAAACAAGTGTCCTTTTCGTTGTCTACTTAGTGTCACGTTTTTCACATTTTTAAACTTTTTTTTTTGGTAATTTTGTTGTTTAAAATGGCCCCCGAGCACAGTGCTCAAGTACTGTCTAGTGTTTTTAGGTGCAAGAAGGCAGTGATGTACCTTACTGAGCAAATATATATGTTAGATAAGCTTTGCTCAGGCAAGAGTTATAGTGAGTTTAATGTCAATAAATGAATGATACATATTAAATAAGGTGTCTTTAAGCAGAAACACACATAAAACAAGGTTATCAATTGATTGACTGACACAAATGTAACCAGCGGCTTGCAGAAACCTAGTCCATAATCCCCCTAGGAGCAATGTTCAATATTTGCTAATTCAGTGTTCACAGTGATTTTACAGAATGTAAGTACAGTGAATAACAAGAATCAACTGGATACGGTAACTAAAATTAGAGACCAATTGACAAACTAATAACCATATAGATACGGCTGAAGAATTAGTATACTCGAATAAAGAATGCAAAGAGATAAAGTATATGAAAGAGAGGGTGAGAAATAATGGAGGTGAGTTCTAAAATTTAAATGGATGTACAAAAGACTTGAATAGCCAGGGCAACCTTGAAGAAGAAAAAAACTGGAGGGCATAACACTACCAGATTTCAGGGACTTATTTCAGTAAAAACCTACTGTAATTAGACAGTGTTGTATTATTAGTACAAGGATAGTAAATACAACAATGGAACAAAATACGAAGATCCTGGAAAAAGATTCAGTATACACTACCATCTAGTTTATGACACAATGCCAACGTAATTCAGTGGGAATAAAGAACAGTCTTTTCAATAAACTATACTAGTTCAACTGGATAACAATATGGAGAGAAAAAGAAGGAATTTTCATCCCATGCCTCACACACAGGGAAAAATAAATTCAAAATGGATCACAGATCTAAATATAAATAGTAAAATATTTAAATTTCTAGGGGAAAATTTACATGACTATCATGAGATATGCAAAGATTTCATAAACAAGATGCAAAAAACACTAACTAGGCAGGGAAATATTGACAATATTTTGTTATTAGCGGGCAAGACAGATCTTTACCAATTCTTGCAACCATGGTCCACTTTAAAAACATCATTCTGTGTGTGCTTGTCAGTTATACTGGTAAGATCTTATGTAACATAAATGTAGCCTACCACTGGTGTAGGCAAACTTTATCACTTTAACTGCTCGTATTAGAAAAAAGGGAAAGGTGTAAAATCAATAATCTAATTCTCACTTTACAAGGCTGGGGGGAAAAAAACAGCTTGAACCTTAAGTAGAATAAAAAAACTTAAACTGCTATATAAGGTTACTAAATTTGGTACATCCATAGCAAGACTGATTAAGAAAAAAGAGAGAAGACAAATTAAAACAAAGTGATGAAAAACTAATCAACACTACAATTCCTAAAGGCATTACAAGGACAACTTGGTTTCTATTTTTTAATGACAAAGCATATTTACACACGTCATAGTGAAATTGCTGAAAACCAAAGATAAAAAGTAAATCTTCAAAACAGCTAGAGAAAAAAAGACACATTAGATACAAGGAAAGAGTAATATGAATGATTGTTGACTTCTAACCAGAAACAATTCTGGGAGGCCAGAAGATACTAGATTCACACTTTTTAAATGATAGAGAAGCATTGTCAATTTAGAATTCTATCTCCAGGGAAAATATTATCTAAAAATGACTGTGAAATAAAGACATTTTAAAATAAACAAAATCTGAGAGAATTCACTACCAAAAGACCTGCAGAATCCCACAGTGAATTATAATTTCTATAATCCACTTGATGCAACCTTCTTGAGCATATGTAATATTTATAATAGCTGTTTTAACATCATTTTCTGCTAATTCTATCACCCGTGTCATTTCTGGGTCTCATTTATTTCTTATTTATCTTTATTCCTCTTTTTAAATTTTTTTTATTTTTTCATTTTTTATTGGTTTTAAATTTTTTGGTTTTTTTCTTTAAATTTTCTTCTTTTTTCTGGGTCTCTTTCTATCAACTTTCCTTCAGGTTTGTGGGTGCTATTTTCCTGCTTCTTGGCATACCAGGGTAGGTTCTAATTAGATTTCAGACTTTGTGAATTTTACATTACTGGTTGATGGACTGCTTCCTATTCCTTTTGAATACTATTGGGCTTTGTCCTGAGAAGCAGTAAATTACTTAGAAACAGTTTATTTTTTTAGTGGTTTGCATTATGCTTTGGTAAGAGAGTTCAGAGGAGCCTTTACTCTAGATCCAATTTGAGCCACCCACTGAGACAATGCTCTTCTGTAGTTCCACTGTGAGTCTCCAAATGTTAAGGAGGTGTTTCCATTCCAGTTGGTGGAAACACAAATTATTCCCAACTTTGTGCAAGCTCCAAGGATGGTTCGGCCTGTTCATTTCCAGTGGTTCTTTCTCCAGCCTAGGGAGTTTCTTCACATATATATGCCGATTACAACTTAAAAACTTGTGGAGGAACTCTAGAATTCTGACCTAGAAATTGCCCTCCTACTGCCCCTCCCCTGAGCTACTCAAACAAATAACCTAAAAACAATACTCACCATAGCCGTGCTTCTAATCTCATTATTGGCAATTAGCCTGGCCTATGAACAAACTCAAAAAGGACTAGAACGAGGGCTTCCCTGATGGTGCAGTGGTTGAGAGTCCGCCTGCCGATGCAGGGGACGTGGGCTTGTGCCCCAGTCTGGGAAGATCCCACATGCCATGGAGTGGCTGGGCCCGTGAGCCATAGCTGCTGAGCCTGCGCGTCCGGAGCCTGTGGTCCACAACGGGAGAGTCCACAACAGTGAGAGGCCCGTGTACCACAAAAAAAAAAAAAAAAAAAGGACTAGAATGAACTGAATATGGTATTTAGTTTAAAACAAATGATTTTGACTCATTAGACTATGACTAAATTCATAATTACCAAGTGCCTTTAGCATATATAATTATTATAGCTTTCACAGTATCTCTTGTAGGACTGCTAGAACTCTAGAACTCTCTCACTCTTTGGGCACAGCTCTCTCCTCTCCTGTCATCTGCCCCATGGATTGATTTCAGCCACACTGAATTCTACTAACTCTAAACTCTGTCTCAATTCAAGGAGACTGAGATCTTTTGGGGCTCCTCCTCCCTATGCTGTAGAATGGAAACTCTCTCCAGGCAGTAGGCTGGGGGGCAATCATAAGGCTTACTTCATTTGTTTTCTTTCTCTCAGAGATAGCTGTTCTGAGCTCCCTATTATCCAACATCTGAAGAAGTCCATTCACGTATTTTGTCTTTTCTTGTTATTTAAGGTGGGACGATATATACATCATACTGTTGAAGAAAAAGGTGTTGTTGGAGTTGGCTGTGAAAAATACTGGTCAGGATTTAGGTTCACTATGATATATGTGGATATATTAATTTGTGCAATTTCAGAATAGATACAAACGTATGTTTGGTAGTATTTCTAGCAGCATAAATCTCATATTCCTTTAGGACATTTAAGAGTTCTTTTCCAGTGCTGAGAATTTGATTTATACATTTCAAGAGCATTCCACGGTGTTCACATCTAACAATCAGCGTAAGATTCTATGATTAAAGAAAAAATGTTAATGTACTTAGATCATAATTACTTTAGATAATTATTTCTCTGGAAACATGTTTTTCCAAATTTACTTAAGGGCTAGGTAGGAATTTATCAAAGTGTAAATTCTCTGAAATCTAATGTTTTTGTGGTAGGCAAAATAATGGTAAATCCCACAGGTGTTCATGTCCTAATTCCTAGAAACTGTAAATATGTTACATTGCATGGTAAAGGGGAATTAAGGTAGAAGATGGAATTAAGTTATTTTAGGACCATATAAATCGTTTCTAGAGTTTTAAAGGTTCACATAGAGAAACCTCAGTATGGATTGTACCCAGAGCCTATCAACACTAGATTTAGAAGATGAAATTTGGCACTCCTGAGCTGATCAGTTTTAGGTTAGGTTTTGGATTCTGGGTTGGTCCCGTAATGGGCTGAGACATCTGGAGATGCTGGGATAGGATGAATCCATTTGCATGCAGGATAGACACGAATCACTGGGCACCAAAGGGTGGCCTCTGGTAGGTAGAATGATGGCCTCCCAAAGATGTCTACATCCTTATGTCTAGGACCTGTGAACATGTTATATTATAAGGCAAAGGGGACACAAGGTAGTAGATGGAGTTAAAGCTGCTAATTAGCTGACTTTAAGATAGGAGATTATCCTGGATTATCTGGGTGGGCCCAATGTAATCACAAGCATCCTTAAACGTGGAAGGAGGAGACAGAAGAATGAGTGTTGGAGGGTGAAAGAGTTGACCAGCCATTGCTGGCTCTGAGGAAGGAAAGGGGCCGCAAGCCATGGAATTTGGGCAGCTTCTAGAAGCTGGAAAAGCAAAGAAACAGATTCTCCTCTAGAGCCTCCAAGAAGAAATGCAACCCTGTGAACAACCTTGCTTTTGGCCCAGAGATGCATTCTGGACTTCAGAGCTCCAGGATAATAAATTGTGCTGTTATGAGACGCTGAGTTTGTGACAACTGGTTACAGCAGCCATAAGAAACTAATATAGCTGTCCTTCTACATTCATTATATTCTTAGGTTTTCACTGCACAATGCAATTCCTGGTGTTCAAGAAGATTTCCTTTATTTACAAAAGTCTTTCCCACTTTCCAAGGTAAAACTGTGATACATGACTTAGTTTGGTGATAGAATTTCCATTTTTTATTGCCTTTGGGGGATTTTTCTTCTCTATGAGTGCTCCCACATTTTACTAAACATGTCTTCCACCTTCAGTGCCTCTAGAGTTGTCTTTCTATGCTCCTCTGACAAGTGATAAGGTACAATTTATCATAAAAAACCATCACACTCTAAGGTTTTGGTCCTGTGGGAATTCTTTGATATCAACTGCAATATCACCTCTAGGAAAAGACTTCCCCACAAGAGCTGCATTTCTGCCCAATGTGATCTCACTGATATTTACTAAGCCTAACTTCTCACAGAGGTGTTCTCCACAACCACCCCATCCACAGCATTTCTGTCCTAAGCAAGCTCTGACACATAATGAATGTGGGGAGGATTCTTGCTCAAGACTTTTTCCCATCTCAGGTATCTGAGGATTTTTTTTTTTCCTACACAATATCTGTAACATATAAGACATAATTTATTACTGAAGGGGTTGTCACATTCACTGTATTTGCAAGGCTTAATCCCTGTGTAAATTCCCGATTTTCTACTGAGGCTTGACTTCTTGAAAAAGGCTGGTCCACAATCACTACATTTCTGTCCCCTAGGAACTCGCTGATGTTTAATAAGGGCTGGGTTCCCGTAAAAGACATTTCCACAGGCACTGCATTCATAGGGTTTTGCTCCTGTATGAGTTCACTTATGAATAAAGAGCTATGACTCACTGAGGAAGATTTCTCCAGCTTTGGGGAATCCACAGCTTTCTTTCTTTTATGAGTTTTCTTATGTTTGGTGAGGACTGACATGTGGGCAAAGGCTTTGCCACATTCACTGCAGGCATATGGTCTCTCTCCGGTGTGAGTCCGCTGGTGCTGAATGAGCTCTGACTTGCTTCTGAAGGCTTTTCCACAATCACTGCATTCATATGGTTTCTCTCCTGTATGAATTCTCTGATGCTTGGTAAGGTCTGACTTAAAAAAGAACGTTTTTCCACATTCCCTGCATTCGTAAGGCTTCTCTCCTGTGTGAAGTCTCTGATGTGCAATGGCGTATGACTTCTGGGAAAAGGCTTTCCCACACACATTGCAACCGTATAATTTCTCTCCAGTATGAGAGCGCTGATGTCTGTTGAGCCGGCACTTCCGGCTGAAGGCTTTTCCACATTCACTGCATCCGTAGGGTTTCTCTCCTGTATGAGTTCGCTGATGGACCATGAGCTGTGACTTCCTGGAAAAGGCTTTCTCACATTCATTACATTCATGGGGTTTCTCTCCTGTATGAGTTCTCTGATGTTCAGTGAGCTGAATCTTCCTCAAGAATTTTTTCCCACATTCATTGCATCCATGGGGTTTCTCTCCTCTTTCAGTTCTCTGATGTCTAACGAGCTCTGCCTTCCTGGAGAAGGCTTTCCCGCACTCACTGCATATATGTGGTTTCTTTCCTGGATAAATTTTTTGATGGTCATCGAGCTGTGACTTAGTGCTACTGGGTTTCACACAGCCATGGTATTTAATTCTGGTAAGAGTTCTATTATGCTGGAGGTAGAGAGATGATTTCCCATATCCACTGAACTCATCAGAATCCTTTCCTGCATATCTTCTATTCTCAATAACAAAACCTAAAGGTGATTTCAAACTTTTACAGTGTGGGCCAAAATTATTGTAACTTTGTGTTAAAGGAACAAGACTTTTGCATAAATCGAAATTATTTCCAAGTGCATAACTTTGCTGACATCTTTCCAAAGTTTTAATCCCGTTTTGGTTTTCTGTGTGCCATTGTATAGGGTGAATCTCCCATACTTCTTCTAGGAAAAAGAACAATGAAAACATCCATGATAATTTTAGGGGGTAAAAAACGGTACAAAAATGCCATGGTTTGGGCTAGCTCTGATAAGATCCCAGTCTAAGAGAAATGTCCACTATGGAAATGTATCCTATGCTCTGTGAAAAATGACAATATTGCATGCTGCAACTAAGGAGCTGGTGAGCTGCAAGTAAGGAACCTGCCTGTTGCATCTAAGATCTGGCGTAAATAAATAAATAAACATATATATATATATATATAGTGTGTGTGTGTGTGTGTGTGTGTGTGTGTGTGTGTGTGTGTGGTCTGTGGGCCTCTCACTGTTGTGGGCTCTCCCGTTGTGGAACACAGGCTCTGGACGCACAAGCTCAGCGGCCATGGTTCACGGGCCCAGCCGCTCTGTGGCATGTGGGATCTTCCTGGACCAGAGCATGAACCTGTGTCCCCTGCATCAGCAGGCGGACTCTCAACCACTGCGCCACCAGGGAAGCCCATAAATAAATATTTTTAAAAAAGAGACAATATTATAAAACAGTAAAAGGAAAAACAGCTATTTTAGAAACAAAGTTGGGCAACCTACAATGAATAAATATAATGTGGGCTGCTTTCCAAATAGAACCTCGCAAAATGGGGACAGAAGTAGAAATAGAACCACACTGTGACTGGAATACAAAAAAAGAAGATGGAAGGGATGGATCCATCCATCCAACAAACACTGAATGGGTTGGTGTTTGGGAATATACTAGAATATTAGAATAATATATTAGAATATTAGAATTAGTATGTTACTACAGTTTGACTAATATATTCTGTCTCCATGGAGCTGTCATTCTACTAACAAAAGAGAAAGAGAGCAAGAATCAAGAGGTAATCAAAGTAGTAAGAAAATTATAGAACATGAAAAATGGTATGAAGGAGGTGATAGAGTAGTGGAAGGTCAATCTTAGACAAAGTAGTCATCCTCGAGAGAAAAAAAAGTTAAGCTGACATCACAGGACTAGAATGAGCAATGTTATGCAAATAACTACATGAAGACTATTCCAAGAGGAAACAGGCAATGCAAAAACTCAAAGGCAAAAAAAACTTAGGCATGATAGAGAAACATAAGGGAGGCTGGCATACTTGGACTATTCTGAGCTTGAGGGAAGTAGAAATAGATAAGTTTGGAAAGGTCTGTAGAATTGAGAGTGTATAGATCTTGTAAACTGTTAAAAATTGGATTTTATGCTAAGAACAATAGCAAGAAGCAACCAAAAAATTTTTGACAGAAGTACAACAGGTTTTGAATTGATATTTCCAAAAGGTCACATGACTCATAGGAAGAATGAATTGGAGAAATAAAATTGTTGAGAAAACACACAGGAGGCTATGGTAGAGTTCCAGCAAGAGATAACAGTAGCCTCAGCATGGATGACTATCAAGGAGATGAAAAAATGTACAAAAACAAATTATGCATGATGGAAGAGGAAAAGATAAGTATAGAGGAAGGAAAGCTAAGACTCACCATCACAATGAACTCTGGAGGTAGAAAAGGGAAGAATCAAGGACAGGGCCTCAAGATGCGGCTGAAGCATCTGTTTAGGAGCTGGTGCCATTTAATAAGACGAGGAAGAATAAAGACATAGGTTAGGCATCTGTGGGATATCAAGTGCTCCATTTTGAGGTACACATCAGGTTTGAGATGACTAATACACACTCAAGAGAAAATATGATGTACTTGGCTGGATCTATGAGTGTGTAGAAAGTTTTAGACTTAAGATAAGAATTTTAAGTCATGAGTATACAAATATTATTTAAATATCTGGACTGCACGAAACTAAATGAGATAATTTAAGAAGAACGAGTAGAGAAAGGGGAGGACCCAGGACAAGGGCATTACTAGTTTTAGAGTTTGGGGAGAGGAATACGCAGAGAACATGAAAAGTCCATCCAGAGACATCAAACCGTATCTATGCTGATCAAACAAATAAGCAACATGGGTTTTAGTAACAAAGGGTTACAACTGGAAAATCAGAATGTAGGATCTACAGAGTGTGATTCCAAGAGCACTGAGGTAAAATATTCAATAATCGCCTTGTTACTAAATCGTTCCCCTCTCATTCTGACTGCACACCAAAATGAAACTTTTCTAAGACACCAATCACTTATTTAATAGGAATATTGTAGATAATACTCCAATTTTCTATTAGGTATGATACAACCTCACATGATCTAATATATCCAGACACACATATAACCATCTGAAATTTAAAAATAAGTCCTTGGGCCATCTACCCACATCCGATGTACTGACTGGTGGAAATACCACCTTCTTCAATCATAATGTAACTGTATATAGAGCTGCCCCATAAAAATTTCTGCAGTGATGGAAATATTCTGTATCTGTGTTTTCCAATATGGTAGCCACTAGCCATGTATGGCTGTTGAGCACTTGAATGTGGCTAGAGTTGACTACAGAAATAAATTTGTAATTTTACTGAATGTTAATTAAATTTAATTAAATGTTATATTTAAGTAGCCCACATGTGGCCAGTGCCCAACACACTGGACAGCACAGGTATAGACCATCATATCCTATATTTGCCATTATAATATGTTTAATATACTCATCTCCAAATTTTCTACTTTCCACTAATGCCAGATTCTTCCTTGATCTCTGTTCCTACATCATCTCTGACACCCGCCAATGAAGAGATTCTGAAGAATCATTCCCATCCAGGATGAAGAAAATATTCATCGTCCTTACCTTCCACTCATCCTAGAACTCCAAGCTATATTTTCCCATTGTTACAATTTTACCACCCAGCTATCAAGAAAGACTCTCTAGAACTAGCCAAAAAAGACAAGACAAAACCAAAATCACACTTTCTAAGCCAAATATTAACATAAAACCCAGAGTAATCAGCCATTTCTTTGCAGACAGTCTCCTATAGGCCAATCTATTAAGAATCTCCCACACTGCTTTCCTCATTTCCATCTCCAAAGTCTTCTTTTTACATTATTACTGACCGACAAGGCCTTCTGTCAACATTTTTACTTAAAACCCAGCTCTCTTTCTTGCAGAAATTATTTTATTATGCTTTCAAAAAGAAGCACACTTTATCCTCTCAACAACACTTTATCAAAGCTCAGTTTTCTCTGATTTTGTAAATCAATCCTTGTCTATACCTCATAATAAAATGCTAAAAATTTTAGAATTTTATGCACCTACATCAACCCTTTCCAACAGATTTTTACACTTGTCTTTTATTTCATCTGCATCTCCCTCGGAGCACATTAGAATTGTGGTTCTTCAATGACAGGGATCAAAGCAGAATTGCCTGGCAAGCCTTTCAAATACCTCATAGGCTCTGGTCACTCCCCACACCTAGCAAACCAGAAGCCGAATCTCAAGAGACAGAGCCTGTAGTTGGAAAAGGCTCCCACATGGTTCACACACATCCCTGATGAAAAGCAAAATTAAAACCAAAATGCAACAAAACCAAACCTGTTTTGGGGATTCCCTGGTGGTCCAGTGGTTAGGACTCCACGCTTTCACTGCCCAGGGTGCAGGTTCAACCCTTGGTTGGGGACCTAAGATCCGGCAAGCCATGCACCCAGGGGCAGGGTGGGGGACCACCAAACCTGCTTTCATGAAAGATGTGATAAATGGATGCAAGTGATACTGTCAGTGAATTATTCTGTGGTTACGCTAAGTAAGGAAGAATAAGATACAGACCCTTTCCTCTATATGGAAAAAGCCTCATACCAACCAGTAAAACAATACAATAAAATATACGATCAGGACTGAGTTAGTGTGGTGTAGATATGAAAACATATAGGAAGTCAGGAAAGAGGGAGTTTTGAGTGTGCACTTGAACTTCACGGACAGAAAAAGAGAACTCAGTTAAAGAAGGCGGCATCTGGATGTAAAAATGCAATATAATCAAATGCGCAGATGCCAGTCTTTGGGTTATTTGACATAATCTGTGGCATTCAGTAAAATAGATCACTTCCTCCTCTTTGGAGTAATTTTGTCACTTGTTTCCAGGACATCTTCTGACCCTGCTTCTACCACAGCCCAATGCTTTTCTTTTTATTTGGCTGGGTTTTTATCTTCTCAACTTTAAAAAATAAATGTGGACCTCTTGTTTTCTCAACCAACTCTCACTCTTCATGTTTTCTCATCAAGTCCCACTGCTTTCATGCCCCCTATCCACAGAGAAATACAACCAGAACCTCAAAGGGAGCTAAAAGAAAAACTGAAGTCAACCTATATATGTAGGAATTGGAACAAAGCAAGTCTATATCATCATGGCCATCAGGGGACCTGAGAGGGTGGAATTTCCAAAATGCATTTTGAAAACAAAATTCAATAGGAACAGCAGAGACCTTCAGAAATATAGAGCAGAGTAAATAGGAAAGACTCAAGGCAACTCAAAGGTGACCGGGCACCAGGGTGTAGAGCAGTACGGGAGAACCTAAATAAAATGCACATGGAGGAAAAGGATTCACCAGGAGGAAAAATGATCTCATTCCTGAAGGTGAAGGAAAAAGGATTTCACAGGACGGATATCTTGGGTGCAGGCAAAATATAGAATGAGAGGGCAGATCAGACTATAGAAAGAGAGGTGGGAATACCTGTTAGAGTGCAGAGAGGTT